AGTGTGTGAGGGGAAAGAAGGGAGGGTTTGCAGAGGTAGGTTGGTCAAGAAGGAATATTGGGTCACTCCTTTCAAAGCATTCCTGGATCCAACCCTTGAGATGTCAAATTCTTAAAATTAAACGTATTAAATGTTACACTAACATGGGTATTATGAGCCTCTGAATTGCTAAATAACCTCAAGTACGTATTCAGTTAATATTCTGCTTCAGTCGACTCCACAGGTTGACCATCATCATTATTATCACCCTCAAATGATGTTGGCTGCTTTGCTGCCGATGTGTTCCTGTTCTTCAAGCAGAACAGTACAGTATCCACAGCAAACAACACCATTGTAATGATTCCAAATGCCTGACACACAAAAAGGCAAATATGAGTGTTACTGACCCAGTGTGAGGTCTAGATTGTACTATCAGTGGTTTCAAGCACAAACTTTTTCCACACTTCCCATCTGGCAACCCAAAACATGATATAGCTGAATAATTAAAAAAATTATTTAACAGTGATGAAAATACAAGAAAAAAAAGTTGGCTTTCTTATTTTTCCATTCTCAGTAATAGTGCAAGATCTTTTGTTCACAACTTTTCATACTTCAGCATAACTGAATGCTTCACCATCTTTTGAATTACAAAAGAAAGTCACTTTCCAACTGTTTAAGTGAAAGGCCCTTTCTTTATAACATTTCTCTGAAAGTTTCAGTCCAGTACCAGCACCAGTTGGAATATAATGTTAAAACCCAGCATTTTAAAATATGGTCATATCAATGTGTCTTTGCTGCCCTGAAATCTTGCCCTATCTGATGGCTCACATTTCCTTTATCAAGACATAGCTAAAAATGACAAAGAATACCTGTTATTTAACAACTAGGTGGTTAATAAGTGGATTCATCCATAAGTATCCACTGCTAGCCACTAACACCAAGGTAAATAGTTGTTTTATTATACACTCAAACAGCAAGATAATAAAGCAAATAAAGATGATTTTAACTTATTATTCCTTCAAAACCATTTATTCCTGCAATACAATAAAATGTTCCTGCCCAAATCCCATGCACCTTAAGCCGAGGTGAACAGCACACGATATTTGGAATTTGAATAGCAAATCAGATTGCACCTTCAAGGCTATCCACTGTTTTAGTATTTACTAAAAGAAGCTACTACAACTTTTTCCAACCTTAAAACTTTATGCTTATAAAGAAAATATAAACAATGGCATCACCAAAAATTCCCTTATCATTTTTCATACTGACAAAAGAGCTGAAAGCTTACCCCAGCTGCCTCAACATTGCCACAAGGTTCTACAGTGCAAACCCTAAAATACTCTCCACTTCCATCTTTGTGCTCAGCTCTTCTCAAGTGTATAGCAGTATCAAGGACAAGAGATGAGGCTAGTAGCAAAAGAAAGGCAGTAACAGGGGAGTATACTGCCATCTGTTGAACAGATCAAAACAACCATGACAAGTCAGAGAGAATTGTTCCAAACATGTGTTCTAAGCTTACACAGCTGGAAAGACTAGGTATTAATCTACAAACACATTAAAGATGATAAATTTTTATGTTAGTCTTGCCAAGAAAGTTCACTGTTCCAAGATAAATATTAACTGTAGCTCACAAGCAAAAAAACCAAGGAGAGTTTTTCCATTTTCCTTCACTTATTAGAAATGATGCAACATCTTTCTTTATATCATTCTAGTCACCAATCTCAAACTTTCACCCCATCTCTACACCTTTTTACAAACTGCGGAACCTAAATGTACACAAGACACTTGCCACATGTCACAGGAAGTATGTCAAACAAAAATTACTGAGTTCCTGTCAGGAATCAACCATTACACCTTTAGATTCTGTGCCCTGATACTCTATCACAGAGACACAAAGACTTAGTGATGAGCAAGGCGAATACTTGGTTCATTTCTGACATGCATACCCCATACTGCTACAATTAGCAATGATCAACATCAAAGTAGGACCTTGATTTAAATTAATTTTGTAACTGGGCTTCCAATATAATAACAAAATTCTGGTATTTCTTTTTTTCTATATTTGTTTCAAATGATTTTTATCTTAAGTTTGCTTATCATCCAGTTGTAGTTTCATTAACATTTCAGTAGAGATCAACAATCTGCTACAACATACAGTGTATTTATGAATTCCCAGAATAGCATATCAGTTTAATTTATAGCATATAATCTTACTTTCATCCCTCTGAACCTCTACAATGTTGAACTTTCTTTCCTGCAATTGTCAACATTGCAAGGGCATAGGGAGTTTTGCAACAAGTTGTGGTTGAGTTTATTTTAATAAGTCTCCTGCCTACAAAAATGTATGATATAGATGGAAGTCACTTCCAATTTGGTATCATTTAAGAAATTTCAGAAAGGCATTTTTGTGTTTTTTATATTCTGACAAGTTATCCTTGTGATGTTCTACTGACAATGTACCTCATGATAACTTTTCCTTGTACATGAAAAGAATGGGTCAGATGAACATAAAAATGATGCATGTACATGTATAATTGAGGATTGAGGATTAATCAATTGAGTTATTAAAATTGTGCCAGTTTCTCAAACAATCTGATTCAAAACTAAAACCAATTGCATCTTGATAATTCAAGTTTCCCTTGTGGGAAGTTTGCCAATATTTTTACTTTGAATTCTCATCAGTTTTTGTGATATCTTCCTTTGCTCTGATTGCCTGTTGAGACTAATTTGGTTTAGCTTAAGCTACACTCAGTCAAAATGCACTTTATATCAAAGGTAAATGTGTACCAAGTTATCACCAACTTACAAAAAAGTTCCAGTTGATAGCGATCCTCTCATAAAGCCGGAGCAAAAACAAGATGAACAGAAATATTACCACCAGCCATGATGTGATGGTTGCAAAGTAAAAGAAGTCAAATCTTCCACCATATCGAGAGTCAGTGTAATGCAGTGTAAAGCCAGAAAGGCAGGCAAATGCTAACAGAAGGCCAAGCTGGATGAGAAAAAAAGGCAAAGTTACTCACTCACCATGGCATGCGCTCTTTAACTCTTATGAATTTCTCCTTACAATATAAATACAATTATATCAAGCAGACAAGAGATGAGAATGAAGAAACTTATGATCTATCAAATGTTTTTGCATGCAAGCCATTGGTCTAAATGCATCACGTGATTGAAAATGCCCTAGCTTAAACTCATTATAATAGCCAAGGATATACCCAAAGTGATATTCACCAATTTTTAAACCTGAAGCCTACCATGGTAAAAGCATCTGTTCAAATTGAATTTAAGATGAAAGGCATTTAGTTACTGTTATAGAAGGGAAATGTTTGTTTTTTCATAAAGTAAGAACACTGAAAAGTAAACATCCATGCTGTAAACAGTAAGTTGTTTGTAAACATTTTCCCCACTTGTTGGAAAAATAATTGAAGGATTACAAAAATATGCACGGATAATTGTCCTTGGACTTAATCTGTTCCTTAGAGCTTACAGTTTTCCTCATGCTATGCTCTGGGCAAACTGTTTGCATCTCAGAACAGATAATGCACAATGGTAGCAAGTGTTCATTCATCAATCTGGGGATCATCAGTTGATCCAACACCAAATTCTCAAAACTAACATGCTAAAATTTTAAGGGAAAAAGAAAGGGATAGTAACTAGTGAGATTTTGGGAGTTAAAGGTTTTAACAAGGATTATGGTCTCAATTCATGAATAAATGGTCTCAATTCTTGAATAAAAGCTCTTGTAGCCTAGTGTGGATCATATTGATAGCAAATAAGCTATTTGGTATTGGGCTTTTTATACCTGCCCCTTCCCCCTTCACAAATTGTCCATCATGAATAAATTAAAAGCAGTGCTTCAAACATTCTTCCAGTTATAAAATCAAAACTGATCACTTGACCTGTTGTGTTAAAAAATGTTACCATCACGTACAATTTCCAAAATTTTAAGAAGTCCTGGTACACTTTTTAAGTAGTTGAAATCCAAACCAGTCTGTCTCATCTGTAGATTAGGGTCCTCCATGTTAAACTTTCTTTGTGCTTACCGTTATATGGCCCCAATCTAGAATTCAAGAGCAATAGAAATAAAGGCAATATCCTGAAAATTTCGCAATACTTGTATGCCAGGCTTTCTCAAGTTTATCTTTAAGGGATCTTGACAGTAGTTAGCTGTCTGTAATTTCCAGAAATAAAACATGTTCTTAAAATTGTGACACATTAGACCGAGAGGAAGTGCTCTTTCTTACTTTAAAGACAAATACATCGCTTATCAATCATTTAATAAACATTTCCGCATATGAACGCGCCTAAATATGAAAGTGGCTAAAACTGATACGCTTTCACGTTTGCTCAAACATAAAATTTGTAACTGTTGCAAAGTACTGTGAACTCGAAAATAACAAGATGAAAGTGAAAGAGTGTAGTTAAGGGAAACTCGACATGCATTCACTACTTTCCGGTAGTGCATTTTAAAGATGTCAGCTGTTCGTTTGATTGAACCTTTTCGGTTACACTTTTGTTTGCCTCTTTCTTTCTTAGAGATTTTGACTTGCGACACCAGTGTGGATTACTGTTCCACGCACTTTTCTGGTAAATTTTCGAGTTATTATAAGGAAGAGTTATAGCACATACTAAATATAAAGTTCGGTATATTAAAAATCATGCAACTGAGAGCTTTCTCTGAGAAGAGTTTAAATTTTTCTTACGGGTGGAATTGCATCAAGTCGGAATTTAAATAATATACGGACAAATGAAATAATTTTAAGAGTGCAGAGTTTCTTACCCTAATCAAAGAGGAGGTTTGCCTCGGAAGTAATCAGATCCTTGTACAGATGATACCTCACTATACCATACACAAAATGGTCGAAAGGGCAGCGATGAGGAACTTCAAAATAAGTATATAAAACCTTTCCTAATTGGCCAAAAAATCTTTTGACCAATCATAGCAAATCTAAGAATTTCTTTCGGGTAAAAATAAATCATTACGATTGCCTCACTTCCATGCTTACGAAAAATGGCGGTTTTTTTGTAGTCACTATGCAAACTCGACAAATTTTCATCGCTAAAATCTATCGACCGAAAGAAAACCAAATTTAATTGTGCGTTGCAATCAAGGTACTAACTACAAAATATGATGTCAGCTCAAGAAACGGCAGATAAATGTAAGATCATGTATGCACTGTGGGTATAAAATTTGAATATTTTTGGTCTTACATAAATTCAGTCGTCACTCAAAAATTTAGAAGTTACTCATGATGTAAGATTGCAATTTTTCATTTTTTGTAGCATGAGATCAGCTTATCACATGATCGGTGAATAATTCATCATCTGTAAATATAGCTATTAATTCTGTCCTGAGTTCATACAAACTCTGTTTTGCCGAATGTTTCTGGCGAAAATGTCACGACACCGCTTTTAGCTTGAATACATAATTATATTCCAGTTAAGATCAGTTATAATTAATACTTCTCAGCATAGGCTTATGCACTGTATGGTGTAAGCTTTCAAATTATTCTTTAGTTGTTGTTACTTGAAATCAGCTGATTACACGATCGGCGAAGAATACGTATAACATCAATGATTGTAAATTTATTATTTGAAGGAAAATTCAATTTGCAATTTGAAGAAAAAAGTTCATGTTTTGAACATTGTAAATGTATCACGAATAAGACGAGTTTAAAGATTTACTCTACAGCACGCACCTATGAACAGTTACTGTCCAGTTTTGTTCAGTTCCTACTTCAAAATTTAATTATGTTCAAAGTCATGTAATATGAAATCAGTTGATCACATGATTGGTCAAACATAGATAATCAATAACTGTCATTTTATTCTACCAGACTTTTAATTAAAAAAGGTTTCTTTTGTGTTAATATTTGTTTTCTAGTCCAAAAAAAAGGTTGAAATTTAATTTGCCAGAATTCACTATACACACATATGCAAAATTTAGTTCAGTTATCCTTAAGACTTTGTTGCATGGCTTATCAATCCTTGTTCAAACAGTTTCAGGCTCAGACTCTTTCTTTCAGGGTCAGCTGACTTAATCCTGTGATTTATCATTTGCTTGAATCATCAGTTTTAATATTATGGTACTGAGTGAATTGCTTAGAAAGTGCAAATTTTTCAATAATGGAGAAAAATGTTTCTTATTTAATGTTTACACAGTGAACAACAGCCTACCAATTCATTTGACAGCTTCAAATGTACAGCAGAACCCAGAATTTGTAAAATTGTTAATGTCACTAACAAGACATCTGACAGACGGTGGCATGTCAGTTGCTGTTCATAAAGACATGTTACAGGTTAGAAATGGGCCAGGCACTGCCAGTCTCAATGCCTTTGTTTTTAGGGCAGTTTCAGCTGTCTCACTTTATTTGAAATTAATGATGATGAATGGTTGCCAATATTGATCTATCCACTTGTTCAAGCCAAGAAAATATTACCCAACTTCACCTTACTGGAATAAATAGCATTTTTTTTTTACTTTTACCACTGAAACAAAACCAAAAATTGAGATGTATAAATTAAACTAGTTCCTTTACAATAGAGAAATAAACATCTAATGTGCCAAAAAGGAGAAATATCACAAGTAACATTTATAATGCACAGTCCTATTAAGGCTTAGAATGCTGAGAAAAAATAATTTTTCTTTCCTTCAATGAACAGGCTGAGGATGCTTTAAGAGAACAAAAATTGAAGTACCTTCAGATTTGGACATTGTACTCAGAGCTAAAGGATTTGTTGATTGAATATGACATAAAGAAACAAGATGTTCATCCCAGTTCAGCCACATTACAAGTAAGAGGATTACTTGAAAATGAAACCTTGCTAGTTTACATTGTTTTGTTGCAAAATCAGGTGGATGCCAGTGTATTCTATAGCTGATTTCTAGAAAACATTGGCCAGAGTTTCATCCTCATGGATTTGAGAAGTAGAATGGTGATGATAGATAGGCACCAGTAAACTGCTAGGGGAATGTGACATAAAGTAGGGGTACAGTAGTGTAATCTGTGATGAATGTTCATCCTGCCTATCAAGAGTACCAGAGAAACTGAGATAACTTCTGGCAGCTATGCATGCAACTGATTAATTGAAGATGCTTTTTCTTTTCTGTGATTGATAGCTTTATGAAGCCCTGAAGGTGTCGCTTGCACAGGCAGAGGCACTTGACTACATAGATTTCCACCCTGAAGGAGGTGAACAATCTGCAACATTGCTTGGACTGAAAGCAGAACAACTACTTGCAGGAGAACATCAGAGAAAGTCCTTACACCAAGTAAGCTTTAAGTCATTTGTATGATTTTTGTTGTGGACATTGTGCATGTTGTGTTAAATTTCTTTGTTTGATCAATTGAATGAATAACATAGTTTTCTTTTTTTGCTCAGTCTTTTCAACAGAGTATTATTCCTGAACTTGAGACCAGGTTGAGAAGCAAGTGTGAAACTTTAGCAAGTTTTCACAAACCAACAAAACAAGCTGGTATGAGTCACTACTTATTTCTTGTAAATGGACCAAGTTTGTGTTTAATGCCTGACAATATTATTCATGCATTACTTTGGCCATCTTTCAGAGAATGAACAGTTGTCTTTTGCTAAAGCTACCCAGTTACCAGCATTTCTTGAAAATGAGAAACAGTTGTTGGACCAAGAAAAGAAGCAGTTGCATCATAATCACATGCTGAGAGACAAACAGTTTACACAATTATATGAGGTTAAGTGTCTTTATTGGTTATTGTTCTACTTGATGTTAACCATAAGCCTTAGGTTGTTTATGTATCATAAAAAATGTTATTTATATTAGTGCCAATATAATCATGTTGCAGTCTACTGAGGAAACATGTTTACTGTTATAAAGGGTTCCTAAGGTCAGATTCCTGTGTTGTTAAAGGTGAACTTTCATTGATAATTTTTTTTTACTGTTTTTACATGGCTTTGAGGATAAAAATTGACATTAGCATGAAATGAAATCCAAAGTTTGGCTCTGAACCTCAGGTTTTACATATTGTTGAAAGGCTTAGTAGCAAAAACTAACGAGTGAGGAAGCCTGGGGATGCCTATTTGATTGTAAGCAGCAACTTGCTCTTGCAAAAATTCATCATTGTTTTGTCCAGGGTTGCTTCTGGAAAAAGGAAGAGAAACAATGACAAACTTGACTCATGTGCTTCCAGGTCTTAGAAATGGATCTAGATCAAGGGGTGGTGGGTAGGGTCAGTAAAATTACAAATCACTTCACCATTTCTACCCAGCCATTTATGTGGACACTTTGTTTTTTTTTAATGTTAGGTTTTAATGCAGTCACTTCAAATTCTACAAAAACTAATGGCAGACCATCAGCTGCAGTCTCAAGCAAAACATGATCGGGTGATGGCAGAGTGGTTGGCTGCAAAGTGTGATGCTATGTGCCTGAAAGTCAGGTATTATTGACATGGGTTTCAGTTATTTAGCACAGTTGCACATGTTATCCTGCTATAATCCGCCTGCATGAGGTACATATCAATCTCATCTCCAGGGTCCCTCTTCTTAAAGGGTGAGATAAAGAGAAAGATTGGGAACCAGTTTGATTGATTATGTGCAACTGTATTATTTGAAGCAATATCAATGAATTTTCAATTTAGGCAATGTGAAGGAAGAAAAAAAAATTATCAATTAGAGGATATTGTTTGATGTAATGTGTAATTCTCAGAGTGATATTTGTAAGGGATATATGGCAGACAGCATGGAGAATTGGAAAGAGGAGAAGGTTTAACAATGAGTTGAAGAAATTTCCTCTTATGACATCAATACATTTTCAAGATGGGCAATGTGAAGAAAGAAACATATCAACCAGGGGATACTGTTTGATGTAACACCTAATTCTCAGAACAGTCCTTATTGGAGATGATGGCACACAGCGTAGAGAATTGACAATTATATTTAGGAGAGAAATATTTAATCACAACTGTATGCTTCCTTCATAGAGTACTTCAAAATCAGATGATCAGGGACACATACACTCCTGAAGCAATTCAAGCTCTTAAAAGAATCAAGTATGTGTGCTTAACAGTGCTTTTATAAACATCTGTTGAATCTCTCAGTCTAGAAACAATTTTCAATTGAGTGGCCAAAATAATCTGGGATTGCATTGCTTTTGCTCTTCTTTACGCTGTGATTGGCCCAGAAAACTCGCGCCACTATCTCACCTAATCAGATTTTGAGAGGCTAAAACCAATCGCGACTTGGTCTTCCGCGTTTTCCTGCGCTCGAGAAAGCGTGCTTGGTTTAATAGTAAGTACAGGTCTATTCTAATTGGCTTTTTGTGATATTTGTCTTTGGTTTGATTGGCTGGTTTGATTATTTCAGTTGGTTTTTTAAGACTCTAAGCCGAAATTCGCACTATATCGAACGTTATACTAAAGCTTTTGGCTTGGCTGATCCCAGCAGTATGTACACGCCTCTCACATACATGTATGAACTTAGTGTACGCCAACACAGTGGTCGTTGGGCCTGCGCAAGGGGGTTAATTCTAGCCCGCCGCGCGCCAATTTTCCCGCGCAAAATTTCTAAGAAAAACATGAAAACCATCCGTTGTCACGTCAAACATGCAAACTAAACTGAAACTTTCTCAGAAATCTACAAAAATACTTTCCGAAAACAAAGTTTATTCCAAAGGCTAACGCTCGAGTTGTCGTTTTAAACTCTACGGTGGCCAGTTTTCGTTGTCAACTCAGGTGATAATACTAAATTAAACTGTTATACTCTCCCACCGACGCTACACCACAGTTTCTTTAGAAACTTACCCCCTTCATTCAAGTGATCTGTAGGTCTGCGGTGGAGCATTGGACCGCGAATTGCAAGGGTCTGGGACATGCGTCCGTGAAGTCAGACTTTTTTCTTTGTACCACGTTTGACAAAATTGCTAATATTTTTCTCTCTTCATATTCACCTTAGGGCCTCTTTAAAGGACGCAGAAGAAGAGAGCACTGCCGAGTTTCACCGACTTACACAAACACTTCTAGCTTACGAGTCAGTTGGAATGGGTTTTGATTCCCTTGTTCAGCAATACACTACACTCATGGCGGAGATTGACAACAAGAAATGGGCGCTGAGCGAACTGCGACAAAATCAAGGAAGCGAGTTGGACGACTTGTGGAATCAGCATTAACGTGAAAACAACGGAACGGCGTTCCACTTGAAAAGAAGGTTTCAGCCAAACTTCAGCTTCTTTGTGAAGCAGTTAGCGCGATCACGGAAATGAAAACATCTTAAATTCTCAAATTAAAGAGATATCTTCCCTTTCATAGATGAGATGTCAAAAATTGAATTGGACGTGAACCTGTTGGAGAACGTTGTTTGAGAGACTTCTTATATTGTCTCCCTGCAGCAAAGATTATTCATTTTTAGAATACTTCTCTTCACGAGCCGATGATATAGGTCGCGAAGTTTACATTTTCAACCTGACTCGATATACGAATTATGCTGCAGCTACTTTAAACATAAGTTTGAATATATACGATTTCAGTGACCCAGTTACTTGTTCGTGAATTACAATCAGTGTTTCGAGATTCATCTTTTTAAAAAGTTTTTCCTTTTAAATCTGCATGGTAACTTCAGAGCCACCTTAATTTTCGATAATCTCTTCAAGTTTACATAAGATAAAGTGCAGTGGAATCGCTATAACAGAGAATTGCTATTTGAAAATAACATGACCATTTTGAGCCACCTTACAGCATATCAGGAAGATGCGATAGCTTGCAATGGAGTTTTTTCCTTTGAAAATCTCGGCTGTTGCAAAACCTCATTTTCTTAACAGTTTTAACATTCCTCGAGTTTCACGATTTATTGAAAGTGTTCCCAGTGCATAGAATTACAGTGCACACACATCTTTTAAAATCTGCATGGATAATGTAATGAAATCTTCTGCTTGTTCTTTTGTGGTAACGTGTGGGAAATATTCCACGGCCCAGTAAAGTCTACCGTCCACCGTCAGGATGTTGTTACCGAAAACGTGGCCCAGTCTCTCTCCTCTCAGACCAAAGTACATTCCGGCAAATTTGAACGGACACTCCCCACCCTGGCTCGTCTGGAGGGCTCCGCAGTTAGTGATAGTGATGATCTGGCTCCTACGGCCTTCGTTATTTTCATAATTGTGTAAATTACAATACGCTTTGCTACCAGAACAATAATAAAGCTTCAAGAGGTCGAAGTGCTTCCCAGAGTCTAGCTGCGCGTGTACCTCGCGAGTACACGTGCGAGCAAACTCCCAAAAGCCAACTTTGTCATCGGGGTAAGCCAAGGGAACTAAAATTGATAAAGCACTTGCGGTAACATAGGCTCCAAACTCAAAGGTTTCAACTTTTGGCTGGCAATCTTTGCGTAGACTGACTGTATAGATTGAATCGATGCAGACTGGGTTGTGAAGATCGTGTTTTTTCGTGCGGAGAATTCGCGCGATCGCTTGATGCGTGGAGGCGGTTATGGCACCGTGAACTGTGCACTTGTTGGCTTTACAGTTCTTTATCAGCAGCTTTGTGTCTTCTTCAGAAAAACTTCGACCAAGGAGGCAGGTTTTCTTCGATACCGACGGATTTGAATTGGCAACAGGGGGGTAAACTGAAAGGTAAAGATTATTTGGTTTCATGAAGAAGGTTTTCGCTCGCTGAAGTGCGAAAAAGCTCGAAATTAACACTTTCTCCGCAGTGCTTGGTTCGGCTCGATTGGATAGCAGCGATTCCAAGGGGGGTCTAAGGGGCAAGCTTTCAACTTCAAATTCTTCACTATGGTGGAGAGCCGCTAAAAATTCCACCAGTTTTTGCTGAAGCTGGAAGACAGAAAGCGCGTCGCAGATTGCATGTTGGAATGTGAACAGTAACGCGTAGTTGTATTTGCCTTCGTGGACTGATTCTCTCAGTAGCCTCACTCGCCATAGAGGACCACTGTTAGTGTTGAACAAGGGGCCATCTGTTTCCTTTTCGAAACCTTTTTCCCATTCATCAGCAGTTATTTCGTCCAATACTCGAAAGTCGACTGTTTCTGGGTTTTCCATTTCTTCAAAGTATGGTTGACTGCCGCTCTCGTTGATTCGCATCCGTAACAAGGGAAATCGTTTGGGTAGCAGACTGAGGGCTTTCCGCAGATGATCGTGAATCAGTTCTTCTTCAGAAGTTAGCAGCAGCACAGAAGTAATAGTGCCCCAATGATTTATCTTTTCTCTGTCGAGCAGCACCCGCTCTAACATGCCAAGAGGTCTTGAATTAGTACTCTCCGCCATGAAATCGTGCTGTTTCACAAGTTACTGTGCGATCTCCAAGGCTCGTAAGTCCCTCTTTCTTGTTTTTGGCCGCTAGTATTTTTTAGTTTTTGTAGGCACCTTCAATAACTATGATTTGTAATGATCATTGGTGTTGTTTTGGAAAAAACAAATCCGTGCGCGCGTTATTTCGTTATTTCGTTATTTCTTTACAATGCTGTCTTGTGTTTTTCAAAATCATCGAATGACGTCATAAGCGTTCCAATATCGAGTTGGGAGTTTATTCACGACCAGTGATGCTTTAAACCATTTAGATTAAAACCAGCAGTCTTTTCTTGTGATTTCCCCAAAAACCGAAAAACTCACCCCGTCATCGAGTAAGTAAAGCTACAAAGGCCTCGATCAATACGATCAATAACCTTTTGACTTCTGACATGCCTACGTAGAAAATTGACAAGTTCGAGTCCTCTCATAGGTAAAGTTTCCGCATAGCCCCACACTATTGTAAAACAAATCTGTTTTCCTAATGGCAATTTATTGTTTTTGTCATTGTTTTCTCTATCCAAGAACTGAATGCATAATGTAGTATGGGGTTGTGCGGGAATTTTACCCTCTCATATTTTGTAGAGCTTGCCACAGATTTTCATGGAGCTTTGCAGATTTTTTCGTCAAAATTATTCAGGCGTCGAGGATGATTCGTTTGTTTGAAAGAGGAAATTCTGAACTTGATATTCCTTTGTCAAGGTTCACAATATGATGGTGAGGTCTGTTCCCAATAACGGCGGGGTGTGAGGGCATAATAATGATGTAAATTTATCTCGTCTCTTTTGTCGTGTCTGGTCCCTTTGGAACTCTTAGTCTTAGGTTTTCAATTTCGGACAATAGTTAATATGTCTGCTATTTATATGCAAATAAGGTAAAGGATCAAAGTAATTTCAAGAACTGGCCCGCTGCATGTAAGTCTCGCTTTAGATTTGATAGTTTGTCAGAGACGGTGTGATTACTTGCGTGACGTGAATAGATGTTTCAGTATATCATCAAAACAGTCAGATAATATACCTTATTGGTACTTAATTTCGCGGGTCTTTAATTTCGCGTTTTTCGCGATTGTAACAAAATCGCGAAATTAAAGACCCGCGAAAAAAAATCCTCGCGAAATTTAAACACGCGAAATTTAATACCCATACAAAAAAATCAAACTGTAGAAAAAAATGATTTATTCGTAATGGCAACAAAATTTACAGGATATTTATCAACAAAACGCAAAATATTAACTGGTTTATACTCGTAAATTCCATTTTTGAATTTGTGAAATCGTTAAATGTTTTGCATGGAGAAGTTAATCTACGCTACTGGTGTCATCTTCATCTGAATCGCTAGATTCGTACAAATCCCTTAGGATGTCTTTCGTACAGTCGTCAAAATTGCCTTTAATTGGCTCCTTGTAGTTCTCATTCACAAGTTTCTTGTAACGTTCCAACACTAAAATATTTTTGGAGGTGGAGTCACGTTCGATGCAAACAGTGACAGGGATTTCAAGGCCACCCTGTACGAGTGGTGATCGTCGATGCTTGGACGTTCCCGCCTCGTGAAATGAGAAAACGAGTGCATCTCGAAATCTCTCTTGGTAAATGACCCACAATTGAATCAGCTAACCGTCCTGGAAGTCGCTTGGTTGCTGCTATCGCATAACGATCATGAATATCATTATATCATTAGATATAAACAAAAGCCATCGTAACGAATGATATTTAATGCATGCATTGTTATCGTTAAACTTATTAAACTATAATAATAAGTTTTTCTTCAAGTACGAACAGCATTTCGCTTAGTGCCTTAAGTGCACAATATTTTGTTGGCCAAAAAACTTCCGTCACCTTATGAACGTTGCCGCGAACCACTGAAACAATGCGTTTTCACGTTGTAATACATTTATTTTTAACGTTAATTTTCAAATATGTGTTTTGTTGTGTTCCAGTTAACTAGAAACTTTAAACAGTTCAGACATTTGGAAAAATGGAATAAAGTTGAGAACGCTTCAATCGCGAAATTTAATGCCCTTTTTTCATATTTGCCTATTGAAATCGCGTAAATAAAACCCCGCGAAATATTGCCTCGCCAAAATCGCGAAATTAAGTACCCGCGAAATTAAGTACCAATAAGGTAGCACAAAAATACGATTTTACCCATTTATTTCCGGACGTAAATCCCGCATAAGTTCCTAGGAGGTGAATATCTAAGTTCAGAGTTTGAGTAACCGATCAGTTTTCGTATGTACTACTGAATATACAGCCCAAGTTTATCAGTGGGGATCGTTGCGTGACATTCCAAAGAACGGTTTGTCGTTAATTGATCAGATTGAAATGACATTGAATGAACTTTCTACCCTCGCCTAGGATAAAGGAAGTTTTACGCTTATCTTATGAAATAGAGAATACCCTTTCTTACTATCAGAAAGTATTTTTACACGCGCCTGTACACGCCCATTTGAAGACGCGTACGAAAGATGGCATTAAACCTCAGTTAAACTCAGTGAATTGCACTGGGTGAGAAAGAGATACATCTATATCATCACAGTTAGCCCAGGCTGGTTGTAACAGATGGACCCGTGTCAAACTTGGTTTCTAATATACCTACCAAACAAGGCAGGTTCTGGAAACTAAGGTAAATATCTTGACGGGTGATGGTCTCATACCCTGTGTTCACTTGCTAAAAATACATCTGCATCGCGGACTACCAGATTCTCCAGTGGTTCGTCATCGACCTGTTTATACCTTGCGATGTCAGCCTTTGATTTTCAAGTAAGTCAATTGCAACAGGTTGAAATCTTCTTTAAGATTTCATAAAATCAAAAAGTAACCAACGATTTTCAAGAAATTTTTTGAGAAAAAGGTTGTCACCGTCGCTGATTTCTCTCTTTATGCTCCAGAATACCGGAGTTGGCTCTTGTAGTTTTTTTTATGAATATTCTTGGTAGTTCGTTTCTGTATTATACATCATTGAAGAGATGAACATATATTTTTTTCGGTTTACTTTTTCAGGGCTAATATACATGGAAAAATTACTTAGTTCTGATTGGTTAAGATAAATGCAGTTTTTAGGTAATTCAGTGCAGAAGAGAGTTAATTCAGTGCAGAAGAGGGTTAATTTAGTGCAAAGAAAGAAACAAATCAGACATTCTGATGGTCAATAATCAAAGAAACTCACAGATAGCCAATCAAATGCGATCCTTGGATGTCGCAACAAAATTTGAAAATTTGCGAGCGAAACAATGGCCGGTGTTTTAAGTTGGCTTTCTTTCGCCACCGCAGCTGAAAAACAGCTTAAACAACGAAAACACTGTAAAAAGCACTGCTTTTTGGTTGTCAGTTTGGAAAAATTGGTGTTTAGAGAAGGGAATTGCCGAGGAAATCGAAAATTACGAGCCGACCCAGCTTAACACTTTGCTCGAGCGATCACACGCCGAAATTAAAAACAAAAATGGTTAAACCTCGGAAACGACGATTCCATTTTATCGAAAGTGATTCGGACACAGACTAAACAATTCCTTGAACTGTTTAGCCGGACTTTGACCTTTTTTGCACCTTAAAGATGTGAAGATATCATTACACAATTTATTATTGTTTTTGATCGTACACGGTTGTTTTGACCGAAAGCAAGGTTTGAATAAATTATTTTTGCACTTGACGCGCGCGCTTTGCTTATGTTTAATTATGATAAGCCATCTCGTATTTTTCCATGTATATTATTAACACGTGATCACATGATTTTTCTCGTGCAATTTGGAATAAACAAGCACTTGTTAATTTTTTCAAAGACCACTATTTTGTTAGTCTTAAAAAAAATTTACTCGTGCTTATTTATTCCAAATTGCACTCGAAATCATGTGATTACCTATACTAATTTTTATGATAATGTGGGTTCAAGCAACTTTCCTAATCCTTTTATAAATAACACCGCCATCTTAGAAGGGCGTAAAAAAGAATATTATGTTGCCCGGAACAAGTGAACAGAATGCTTCCTGCTTTACGGCTTTAAAATTTACCATTATGGGCGACTATCATGAAATTTTACGCCCCATACTTTTTTCTTAAGACCAGTTATCTGCCGTTAGCTTTTCCGTGAATGGCATCCTGCGCACGTAACCTAAAATAGAGGCTTACAACACACCACTGAAGCAATGAGTGGCGGCCGGTCTTACATACTGACGAATTACGGGGCGCGGAGAACTTTTCCTACCAAAATTCAATATCACTCTTTATTTTCTTAACAGAGTGCAGAACATAACAAAAAAATTTGACATATGGTATGTAAACAGAGTGGGAAAGGAAAGTATTTTGAGCCAAACCTCAAAAAGAAAACAAAGACTGGGAAAAAAGATTTCTTTCCCCATTGTTAGAGTTGTCATGAAAGACTCCTCGCTGTAAATGATGTGACTTGATTTCCTAGGCTCTTCCTAGCTATCCATATATGTTCTTTTAAGTGTACAACAAGAAGACTGAAGGAAAACTGTGTTAGTTTTAATTTTAGGTGACATTAAAATATATATTGTATCATCATCAAATATGCGAATAGTTTCGTAAACTTTGCCCCGTTTACTAAGGATAGAATTCTAACGAACTAGACTCAATCAAACTGTTTCATTCCACTCTCGTATTCGCTTATTTACAACGGGTGTGTAAAAAGCTACTTCCGACCATGAAATACGCAAAAAAAAGCAGAAAGGCATCCTGTGCACGAAGCTAAAAATGGCAGCTTACAACACACCACTGATAGCGGCCTTTCACACCCCCGCTACACGCTCGGACTTTTCTATTCAAAATTCTATATCACAAGTTATTTTCTTAACGGAACACATATCATAACAAGACATACAAAGTGTGGTAGATAAACAGACTGGTGAAAGGAAAACATATTGAGCCAAACCCCAAAAAGAAACAGAGATTAGAAGGAAGATCTCTTTAAGTCATTATTTTAGTTGTCACGGATGACTCCCCGTTGTTTCAGGTGTCACTTGATCAGTCCCAAGTCCTTATTATCCATGCTCTTGAGTGTACAACAGGGAGGCTAAAGGAAAATTGTGATAATTTTAATTTTTAAGCGACAGAGAAACGTAACTACATTACCATCACAAAATATACGAACAGGAATAACTTTCCTTGTCATAACATAGATCCTCAGTCCTGAAGTGTCACGTCATACGCGAGCTCTGTCCCACGCGCTTCTCGTGTTTCCTATAGTGTTCCTCGGAGCGCGTCAGACAAGCCAAAGTGTGTGTTTATTTATGGAGAAAGTGTTTTCGAGAAGGTTATATCACACGATAAACAATCACATTGCACGTCATACTGTTATAAGCGAAAGCTATTGTTTATTAAATAATATTCACACTGTGACGAACTATTAATTAACATGACACTAAAGGTTAGATTTTTAAATAGCATCAATTTACGCTTGGAATTCCGCCTAATTATTATGTTGATGGGCATAACATTACTGCTTTCAACTTGTTTCGGAGTTGTCATGACAACATACACATTTCTTTACCATCTAGTTGTACGTCTTTGTTCTTTTCACTATCGCAAGTCATAGCAATTAAATTTCCATTAGTTTTTATTCCACTGAGGCTAGCGGTGGAGCATACAGGAGACTGCTATGCTTCACCCTGCACTTCTGTCAAAAAGCATTGGTTAGTCTATTTTGGAATATTATGTTACATGCTGGTTAAATAAATTGTACGCATGACATTGTGAAGTGCTGTTTAACATCATCACTTTCAATTGTTATTCTTCCTGATTGAAGCTTAAACAGTCTGAAGCGTTTTTAATTGTTTGTGATTTAGGATCAGGTAATCTTGCAGGAAGGCTGTAAGGCTAAAATTGGACATACCTTTAACGGACAAACTGGAATAGTCACAGATTTTTTCGCAAACAGAGACTTATTCAAACTTATCTGCATGTACAATTTGCGCAATAGTTTTGATACGTCTGACTTGCTTTTCTTTGTCTTTCATTACTGAATAGATATTTGAGGTTATGCCCATGTATAGACATGATTCGGCAGACGTGTTATGACGAGGTTTTATTAGATGACGCAAAGAGACAATGAGAAGTGTCAAATGCATTTTGACTTCCGCGCTAAATTGTCAACAACAGGACCACAAAGCCTATAAAAGTGAGAGCGCACTTGTTTCGTGTCAGTTTGAATCGTGAGACAAGCTGAGAATGGAAATTCAAAATCAAAAGACGAGTGCCCCAGAAATCTTTGAGATTTGGGACATTTTCGAGTCCTACATAGCATCAGTTATCATTTGCGTTTTGATCTTGGAAGCTCTCGTTGCTGTTCTCTTCCTTAAAATGAGAGATGCTCACGAGCCAACCGTAAGGCACTCACGGCGGAGAAACGGAAAACTCTCCAGGCCTTTGGGCTCGTTGGAACGTGTGTTGCTGGAGAGAGAAAGAGTGAATCATTGGGGAACTGTGTCTTCGGTATTACTCCTGGATTCTGCGGAAAAACTTAAACAAGATCACTTAATAAAAGCCCTCGGCCTGCTTCCCAAACGATTTCCTCTCCTGAGGATGCGAATCAACCAGAGCGGCAGTCATGAGTGCTTTGAGGAAATGGAAAACCCAGAAACAGTGGATTTTAAAGTCCTTGACGAGATCGCGGCTAATGAATGGGAGAAGGGCTTCGAGGAAGAAATAAATGGCTCTTCTTTTAACACTGACACAGGTCCTCTGTGGCGACTCAGGCTGCTTAGAGAGACACTTCACGAAGGAAAATACCGGAACGCTCTAGTGTTCACATTTCATCACGCCATCTGCGACGCCCAGTCCATTTTTAAGCTTCAACAACAGCTGCTGAGTTTCCTTTCTTCAATGCACGATGGAGAAGACTTTAAAGTCGAGAGTCTGCCCCTCAGACCTCCTCTTGAATCGTTGACATCAAGTCTCGTTAAACCAAATATTTGGGAAAGACTGTTGTTTAAGAGTGTATTTGCCCTCCAGCGAGTGAAGAACATCTTTGTTAAGCCAAAGAACTTGTATCTGTCGTTCTACCCTCCTGTCGCCGATTCCGATCCGTCGGTGATGAAGAAAACTTGTCTACTTGGTCGCAGTCTGTCTGAGGAGGATACCAAGCTGTTAATAAAGAACTGTAAGTCCAACAAGTGCACTGTGCACGGCGCTATAACCGCTTCCACACATCTGGCAATTACGCGACTTCTACAGAAAAAGAAACAAGACTTAAACGCTCCGGTCACTGTCGAATCGTCTTACTCCGTTAGTTTACGGAAGGACTGCCAGCCACAGGTGAGCAGCGATGATTTTGGAGCTTTCATCTCCGCAAGTGTGTTATCCATTCCAGTACCCAGTGTTGACCTCACAGATAAGCAAGGATTTTGGCAGTTTGCGCGCGCGTGTACTCGCGAGGTACACACGCAGGTGGATTCTGGAAAACATAGGAACGCTCTGAAGTTTTATCAATGCATTGACATTAGATCGTACTGTAAAATGTCCGATTATAAGCACAACGAAGGCCGTAGAAGCCACATATGTAATATAAATAATTACGGGGCTCAGAGCACTAATCTGAGTGAAGAGAGTCTTTTTAAGATTGCAGGGTCGTATTTTGGTGTGCAAGGCGCGAAAACCAGTCACATATTTGGCAACAATATCATGACAGTTGACGGCAAGCTTTACTGGGCTGTAGAGTATTTTCCACATGTCACCACTAAAACACAAGCAGAAGATTTTACTGATTTAACCTTGGAAATTTTAAAGGGGGCTTCTGTTTGATAGCAGTTTAATATTACAAATAAATTTTGCGCAAGCTAAAATTGTGTAGTTATTTATAGTTATTTATTCATCAAAAGTTTCTTCTACCGTTAAGGGCTGAAATTGTAAAGAGGTATTTACATTTCAGCGTAAAGCAGTTATTTAATTTGTTGTTTCATCGACGTCGTCTTTGCAAAACTTGCGGGGTGTTCACGTATAATAGCTTAATATCAACAAAAGAAATATATTTTGTGTAAATTTAACCTTAGTCATAAGAAGAACACATCAAGATATGGTATGTACATTTCAGTAGGTTCGATTTTGGCGAAGATATTTGAAATAAATAATATATTAAAACACAAATTTTGAAATTGTTGTCTCTTTTCGCATCGCGTGTCTCCACAATGTTTGTCAAAGCGGTCAAGGTTATTTCCTTCAAACATTATACATAAAGCGGTTCCGTTTCTATCATCCTTCAAAAGGTTTTTGCTGTCATATCAAACCCACACTTGGCCAGCCGGAAAACTAGCCACATAAATGTGTGCACTCTTAACGCCCCTGACATCGTGTCAAAAGTAATACGGGATAACCCCGGACTGAATTGGTTTATTTCACTGCGCTCTGTAGTTGGTTAAGAAATATTACACTCAACTCTTAGTCATTCAGAATGACGCAAAACTCATACCCTGCGCAACTTGCTCGCTTCCTTATAATTGTATGTACTTTAGGTCTTCACTGCTTCTTTCGAATTGTGTGCATTGGCTTCAGTTCAACCACTTTTCCCGCCTTTTCACGCTGCATGCGGAAACTTTAGGACTGGCCCGAGTGTTGCACGGCGAGTGAAGGAACGACCCCTGAAGCAGACCCCGGGAAAAAGTTCTGCTAAGTAACTGTACTGACTTGTTTTGATTACTTTTTTTTTTATTTGAGGTAACTAGCTTCTCATTTGTACGCAGCGGGTATCCCTTCGCAGAGAAAAGCAAGGACATTTTTATTTCATATTCCCAGTTTCTGACAAAATCATCAGAATAATTTGATAATGGTCAATTCCGTATACAGATCGTTTGGGATGAGTAAATTTTGGTGACCAAACCAAGAGAGAAACCAGCCCTCATTAATAGACTACATATTTCAATGCTGCATTTGTACAGCTTTTTCTATACATTCCTTAGATAATTTCTCTAAACAAGAAATGTTCCAGCCGTGGCCGTTCTTCTGCCTGCAAAAAAATTGTTCGACGACAGTGTTGTCCCAACACATTTCTCAAAATGCACAAAACCAGATTTTCTACATGCCCCCTGTAAGAATTAGTAAGGCTGAGTTCTTCGTTGTAAAATCATCTTCTTCTACTGATACTTAGAGAACACGATTGCAGTGTGGTCCATTGAGCACTGCATGCAGTAAACTACTTTCATGCTGACTTTATAGAGGGTAGTTCGAAAAAACGCTTCGCAGAGGAGAAGTGAGGATGACGAAGACAGTTCCATCTTCCTACTGTCAAATCAAACAACTGAAGGCGTGTTTCATACGAGGAAATCGCTCTGAAGAAGTCTTTCGACTGCCAAAAGTATTTTGGCTTGGTTCCTACGAGTAAGCTTCACAAATCAGAATAAATTTGAACTCCCGCTTTAAAATATGGCGATCATTTGATTCGAACCTGGAGTCCAGTCCATTTGAATTCAATGCAGTTCCTCTGTTTTTTATCACTCTCACATTCTGATCACAAGTCAAGGTTTCGTGACACAAGAGCGACAGTAACGAAAGGTCTGCTACCAAACTCTTTCTCGTCTCATTCACATGGAAAAATGGCGACACTCCCTTTTATTTATATCCACCGTTTCGCTGTACTCAGAACATAAATAGCCATTGTACCCACAGAAGCTGTTAATGTCCACACAGCGAGCTTCATGTAAGGATTTGTTTGTGTCGCCGATTGGAAATTTTGTGAAACTTCGAGTTCATTGTTTGTGTAAAGGGCAAGCTGTTTTTTCCTTTGTCTCAGAACAGAATCAGGTCTTTGGTCTCCTAACTCTCGTATAAACTGCTTGTGCTTGGCTACGGTTATGCTAAATTGAAAAAAAAATCACTCGTACATTAAAGAGAAAAAAATGATGCAAGGTAAACATTGGAGAATTCTTCGAAAGGAACTTGCGAGTACCACACGATTTCTAAGGAAAAAAGAAAATCTATATAGAGAGATAAAACTCTGGATATTTGAGGTTGCGGATTTTGTCGTCACTTGTGATTTTATTTACTTAAAAAAAAAGGATCGCTGGACAAATTGACATGTCTCTCGTTTAGAGACTACAGAGAAATACTGGAGAATTTTCCTAACAAATCAACCCTTAAAATGCAGATTCTTGTATTAAGCAGAAGAATCGATGAAGAAAACTGACAAAATAAAAATCAACAAAAATTTAGATGATGCACAGAAGAGCGTAAATTCTTCTCGACTTATGAACACGCAACGTTTCAATTTACAACTAAAAATGTAGCTACAGGTTCTGAAAAGGACTGTTGTCGATGACCATGGCAGTCGTTTTTAACATTGCAAAGCAAAAAACACCAATTACCTTTCTTTAAGATAGCGGTCAACAGCTCCAGATAGCTTTTCTGGGGGAAATTTACGGAACAGCGAATGCGCAGTGGTGATAAGTTCTTCAACATAGTCAGGAAGATCATCGGGAATTCGAGAAAGCAGATGGTGTACATAGCTCATTTCACATTCGCCGGCCAGCACTTCAGAACGACGCCGGATCACAAGCTAGTGACAAAAAAGTTTAAACATAGATTAAAATGAATTTTTCGTTTCTTTTCACACTTGCCTTGGCTGAAAAACCTACGTGTAGTTATCGCTCGCAAGAAAATCCTGCGGCAGTTTTAGCTTGTGGATTGACATATTTCTTCAAATTTGCGAAGTTCAAGGTGACTGAACTGGTGGAACTAATTTTTGCGGTTTTTTTTCCATCTCGTTAGGAGAACCTACATAAGGGAAAAAAACCGAGATATTTTTAGATGGCCGTCGAGTGATGAGTGTATCAGGTCATGTTACAAATACTCCGACGTTCCCTTATTGTATCTTCTTTACTCCTATTAAAGCTACGAAACCGTTTGAAGCGTGGGAAAATGCGAAGGGCCGACTCACGATTAGTTTGAGTTTTGATGCTGATTGAATGAGAGGATGTCGAGTTTTCTGGACCAATCACAGAGACACAATCATACAAACTGGGTACAAAATTTCACTAAAATCTACTGGTAAGATAAAGAAGGAGGACACAGCAACTCACAGCGGCACCGAAGTACACAGGCATAAGAGGATGGGTGGCCAGAAAGAAGTCATACAGGCGCACTATGGTGGAAAAATCCTTCAACACGTGACCATACCACGTGATTAGCCAGCTGAGGGCAAACACCTGTCCCACTTCAGACCTTGTCAGTGTAAGGAATGAATTATTACTAAATTTGAGATCATCATTTTTTCGCAATATTATGCTAGGTACTGCAATGGAGTGTATTATGATACTGATATATTCACAGTCGTGCAATGGAGTGTGGTAGACATGGTAGCCTTAAGGTTAGAGCAATTGACTTTGGATTAAAAGGACTGGGTTCCAGCCCTAACCCAAGGGTTAACCTAACCAGGGTCATTGCATTGTGTCCTTGGGTTACGCATTTTTCTCGAACAGTATCTCTCTTCATCCAAGGGTAGAGATGGGGGTACCAGTGATGGGCTACCACCCCATCTAGGAGGAGAATTACTACTTGGCAGCTTCATGGTGTAAAAACCAGGGTAAAGTCAAGAAGTGAGGATCACTTGGCTTGTGCCCCATACTTAACCTACTCTGTATAACTTTTGGAGCCAGAAAAGTGATCTTGTCTTACAAAAGACATGTAACCAAAAGTCGAAACCATAGGGGGGGTCTCATACATATGTATAACTGACAGCATAATATAGAAATAAAAGGCGGAAACTAAGGCAAATAATTCACTGGGGTGAAGTTAATGATTTCCAGGCTTAGCTGCTGAAATAAACTAAAATAACATACCTGACAAGAAATTCCCTCAATTCTGGATCAGCTTCTTCAATAATGGGATGCAAAAATGCCAGCATTTTAGTTGTCTTCTCCATTGAACCTTCCATGAAGTCCCTGAAACAAAAAAGCACAGATGCCAACAGAAATAACCACCTGAAACAGTTTGGTTTTACATGTACTATTGGAGAAGATTGTAAAAGGAAAATCATTGAACAGTAAAAATGTCAAAGAGGTATTACACACAAAAAGAGCTACAGTTAAACTTCAAGAAAAATGCAACTTTTCAAACTATACCAGTGGCTTTTGCTGTTGAGCCACCTGGCAAGCTGACTGCTACATTTCAGTGAACTCTCAAGGAAAGAAGCAATGGCTAAATGGTTAATGGACTAAAGTCTTGATGGAAAGGTCCTGGTTTATCACTCAATAAATATTCCAACCCATGATAAAAAAAATTCCTTTTGTCAGTTTACCTCAGTTGATGAAGAGACAATTGCTCCAGAAGAGCTGTAGCTAACTCCTCTCCAGCTACAAGCAACAGAGTAACAGCCACATCATGGTAACCCTTTCAAAATGATAATCAAAAGTATTTGATTAACTATTATAAATGTTGTAATCTACCCAAAAAAAAGGGGCATCTATGCCACTCAGAACTCATAGGTTCCTCCTTGTGTATATGACTATAACATACATAATTGCCTTATTAAATAACAAACAATTTTTATTACTATTTACTATTCATAAATAACAGCATACCTGATAATAATGCAGATCCTGATTTCTACACAATACTCTCATGATGATCCTTACAAGCTGCTCTTGAAGGGCACGCCGCCTTGATGCTCTCATCTCTGATTCCAAATGAAAGTAAGAAAAACTGTAACCAGAGGTCTGAATTTTTTACTGTAAATTGGGTGGTTGAGGAAGATGGAATGACCAAAAGAGTCTTAACAAACTCTAAGCCACATAATAAAACAGTCCAAAACTACTCACAATAGATTCAAAGAGAATGGGAGCACTAGTAATAACTAAACTATGGGTATCTTACATTGCTATCAATCAAAACATCAGTTGAAAGTTACTTTAAAGGAACCATTAAATCTGACAAAAAAAAAATCACGTTGAGATATTGTATAAAGAGAGTACATAATTATTGATTCACCTATTAGAAATATTTGACAGAAGAAGAGAGGAAACAGCAGAATACAGGCTACATGATTGAGGACATGACCAAGATTGTCCCAAAGAAACCCAAGTGATTGGGAGGGTATGCTTATGCCCAGTTTCCATTTG